CCCCAAAACCCCAAAACCCCAAAACCCCAAAACCCCAATAAATGATGAGTTAATGAATAAATAATTTCTAACATGTTTCATATAAACACAGGTAATAGCTGATTACCACCATAAATAGACATGCCTGAGGTGACTGACATACACATCAAGCAAGATAAAGTGAGGTAGAAATTTCCTCTAACAACATTTTAGAACAATGAAAGGGGAGAAGAGTACATTAAACATCGGAAGCTTCTCAATAATAACTATGAACAATCCAAGAATAAATTTCTCCAATTTTCAGAAGAAGGGACCCATGAGACGTTCGTATCTTGAAGGTGGTAGGAACCACTTAAGATCTCAGAGTAACTTCTTTGCTTTATTCCAGAAATTTTAATTTCAAAATTGGTCTCACTCTTTTCTAGAATCACATAAGAGTACAACGAATATGTTAGAGAAATTCAGGCATTATAAGCTTAAATCAAAGAATACTGAGTCAATGCCAGAATTACCTCCAACGTAAGTAGTTCTGAGAATTTTGCCAATTTTTTATAATAAACCAAACCATATCGTGCAATAGGGATCAAAACTCTACTAGCGAATTATAAAAAGGCAAAGAATGCAGCATGATGTCTACACTTCAAAGTTTACTCGGATTAAAAAGAAGAAGGAACTTCCAAGGTGCACCTGTAAGGCAGACAAAAGAGGTTGTAAATTGTACGTTTACCTTTAATACCTATATAGAAAGCTTAACATCAATAATCTTTGCAACTATTGAAAGACGAATGAGCCCAAGGAGTTATCAAATGCGTTCCATTCCTTACCCTCACCAGAGAATATGGACTATTTTAGGAGGATCAAAGGATCTTATGACTTCAGTAAATTAGTCTCAAGGGAGAACAAGGTTGAACAGTCAAAGTTTGGTAAATAAGAACTTCCATTTTGCTTTGGGTAAGACAGATAAGAAAATAAAATATGCCCCTGGTGTGGTAAGCATCACCCATTTTAGCATAATTACACTTCTAGGGAGTGCCCATGCTGTCCAAGTTTGACATTAACAAGTACAAGAATCAGAAGAATGATATAGAAGCCTTTAGGAGCAAACTTAAGAGGTTAGTGCATAAAACAAGAGTTGGCTAGTTCACAAAAGATTTTCAACCTATTATCTTATAATTGGGGTTTTGGGGTTTTGGGGTTTTGGGG